GGGGAACCTGCCTCATTGGGGGTAAGCACCGTTTTATAGCCCGGCGGCTGTCGAAGTGATGCCGTTTTTGGGCCCGGCGGCCAATGCATCAGTTGATTCTATGGGGGTGGCCGTGACTTCCGGTGAAGGTCCAGTGAAAAGTGGTACGTTGGGGTGGTTGAATTCCGATGCAAAAAACAGCGCCCCAGTGACGGGGATCACACTCAGCACCCGAGTGGGACGGCTGAGCGAAACACACTCTGACACTTGTATTCAGTTAACTCAGTTCCCTGAGGAAAGGAATGGCTCAACGGTAAGATGATGAGTCCGATCATTTGAAGATGTTTGAACAAGTGGTTTGTGCACAACTGCGGCGACAAGCTGCAAAAAAGCGCGGCTGCTGAAAGTGGCTGAGTAACCTGTTTGGGGGGAGGAAGACATGAAACACCATGAAAACAAACCAAACGATTGGACAGCGTGAGCAAAAGTTAAAAGTGCAGGTACACGGGGATGATCAATCCCCGCATCCTGGTCGACTCCATGGAGCTTCGTTGGCGACCGCCATGCAGCGACCGTGTCGCCCCCTGCCAAAGTTGGTTGAGAACCCTTTGTCCAGGGGTGGACACACACACACACGAACACAGCCAGTTCTGTGGTTGAGCACGCTTACAATACAGCATTAAAAGACTGAAGTGGCCCGGTGCCAACCACAAGGCGAAATAGCTTAATCACAAAGTTTGCAACCATGCACGTAAGCAAAGGTCCTTGCGGATATCTCTTTGTTAGGTGCCCTCTCTGCAGGTGTGGGGCGCCCCCCTGCATGCACATGCAGTCAATGTGGTCTGCACAATGACCAGTTCATGTTTTTGGTGTGCGCGTCCGGTTTTGCAATGGACATTGAAGGGCGCCAACCTTGGCACTCGCCCCATCAAACTTCCGGTGGCTGCCTCACACTGGAAACCAGGCGTTGGACGCAGGCCTGCCCAAGTGGAATGGCCGACCGCACCCTTTGGAAATTATGATTTCGTCACAACCGTGGTTTGGCCCATCCTCTCTTGCTCGCCTTTACTTCCTCAAGCCGTTGCGAGCCCTTCTCCGGACTGCCGGATCGGACTTGAATTTTTTCCGCAAGGGCCGCAGAACGAGCTATGTACAAAGGGCATGGCATGGTCATGATGTCGGGTCATCAGGGGTGAGCGACCAAACAAGAAGAATAACATCAAGAAATTTGAACGCGCATTTAACGACACATAATACATAGCTACAAAAGTCCCAGCAAGCAATGGAAAAACACAATTTTTGAAACGGACAGAAGCGGCAGAGCGGCAAAGAAACAACAGGAAACACCCCCGAAAGCAAACACTGGCCCAAAAAAAAAAACACCCACAAACACCACCCTACGGCCACCACACAACAATGAAATACATCTTTTTGATACACCCAAGGGTTCTCAAATATTGGGGCAAAGGCACGCAATACTTGGCGCGGAGACGTGTGGAGTTGTCTTGACAAAACCTGTTACAGTACCAACGGCAAATGCGTTGGCAAAGGTGGTGCAAACTCCATGAGTCTTCGTGGCGCTGGAACAACGAACCACACACAAACATTCACCAAACGCTGAACGCACCACAAGCTAGATCACCCAAAGCTACATAGCCCCATCCCATCGGTTAATTTTTGGCACCCAAAAACGCAACCAAAGGACCACAGGAAAAGGAGCAGAAACATCAGCAAACCCAGAAAACAAAAACCACAAGACTCAAAGCACTTCAACGTAGAAAGCCATGGGAAACATAGCTCCCCTAAGAATCACAAGGGCCAAGCCCACCTAGGAGAGCGCGACTCGCCTTTTTCACCATGAATTGCGGACGTTTTGCCAGTCCTTCGGCCAAAGTTAGCTGGCCAATTCGCACTGCGACAAGCTAGCACACCGCGTTGTCGATGAACCTTCATCCTTCTCAACAAAGGGATGGCCTTCCCCAAGCGGTGAAATGATGTTTTTCTTCGCAATTTCTTCCGCGCTGAGGTCTGATGTCTGCGCAGGCTTTGCCGTGGTTGAGGGCACATGGGCATGACGAGACAATTGGTGCTGCAATAAGTCCAACACAGGGCGCACACGGTGGGGTGGGGCAACTGCATACACATCATCCAAAAATGCGGAAATGGAGACAATACAATGCGGCATGAGTGGATCGCCCTGTTCGCCACCCTCGGTTTGTTCGATGGTGTGGGGGTTGCCTTCTGCATCGTGCCACACATAGTGCGATGGGGTGCCATAGAACGATCTGACGAACGGCAAGCATCAGTTTGCAAGGGGGACTTGAAGCAAGCCGTGCGACATGCTGGTGCGGGAGATGTGGTCGAACGCCCCAACCCCCGTCAACATAGAGGATGGTTTGTTGGTGGTCCAGTTCAGTTGAAGTGGCCAAAGTTTTGATGACCGCTTCG